TCTATGTGTTAAATGCAATGTTAAATAGATGAGTTATGACTAGGCGTTTAAAAGATTCCAGCGACTTTTCACATCGAATATGACTAGGTAGCTTATTCCATAATTTTGGGGCAGCTGATGAGAAAGCTCGATCGCCAAGTGTAGCCAACGTTTTTACAGCTGGTGGCTCAATTAACACTTGGTTACCAGAGCGCAGACCGTACCGATTAGGTCTCTTTAATGTGACTAATTCCCTGATACAATCTGGTGACATACAATGTAATGCCTTAAAAGTGATGAGTAGTATTTTAAACTCTATACGGAAATAGACTGGCAGCCAATGCAAATGATATACAACAGGTGATATATGATCCAACTTGGATACATTGCAGATAAGCCGAGCAGCTGCATTTTGGACTCGCTGTAACTTATTCAGTTGTACCTGGGGCAGCCCATAAAGTAAACTACTGCAGCAATCAACACAACTAGTAATGGATGCGTGAATTATAATTTTTGTTGATTCCGTAGAAAGAAACTTTCGGATTCCTCTAATATTATGAAGATGGAAAAATGAAGTACTGCAGAGTTTGGAAACATGAGTCTCTATCGTTAGCCACAAATCAAACCAGCAACCCAAGTTTTTGGCCACTGATACTGGTGAAATGTTACAACTCCCGACAGTGATATGATCAATGCCCACTTTGCACAGTTGTTGTTGCGGGTACCTATGATGCGGAATTCCGTCTTGTCCGAATTCCGTTCAACATTAGCCGATCAGCAAGCATCCAGTCACGGATATCTTTTATACAGGTTTCCATCGCAGATACAGCCTGTTCCTGGATAGCAGCAGAATTTGGATTGAAGGGTAGATACAGTTGGGAGTCATCAGCATAGCAGTGGATATCCGGGAGATAAGCTTCAAATATTGAGAAAATTCTTGACGCATATATGTTGAAGAGAAGAGGCCCTAGGCATGAACCTTGTGGAACACCCCACTTGCAGTGGAAGCTGTCTGATAAAGTTCCACATATTGACACGCGCTGTAATCTGTGTGACAAATAGGATGAAAACCAGTCAAGTGCTTTGCCCGTAATGCCAATCCTAGACTGAAGGCTCTTGAGTAAAATATCATGATCGACAGTATCGAAGGCAGCACTGAGATCCAAAAGCACAAGGAGAGTAACTTGCTGGTTGTTTATGTTCATTAATATGTCGTTCTTAACTTTTAACAGTGCTGTTTCAGTGCTGTGTTGTTTCCTGTACGCTGATTGCATGATCGGGAACAATCCATTCTTGGTCATGTGATTGTAAATTTGATCAAATACTATTTTTTTCCGTCAGTTTAGACACATAGGTGAGATTGCTGATAGGGCGGCAATTTTTAAAAACAAGGTCAAGGCCCGGTTTTTTCAACAAGGGTATCACGAGTGCTTCTTTCCAGTTCTCAGAAAATGTAGCTGTATCTAAAGAACAGTTGACCATTTTAGTTAGAGCAGGTAATAGCTCGTCAATGCAATTGATAATTAATGGGGTTGGCATTGGATCCAACGCGCAGGTCTTTTTTGATGAATTGTTTATATAATTTTTAACTTGTTCCAGCGACAGTAGCTAAAACTCCTCGAATACAACCGCAGGTGCGTCGTTTCCGGTTAGTTCCACATGCTGTATGCTGCTGCTGCTGGGCGTTGTCTGTGTCAATAATCTTTTGAACGAAGAAGTGCCCGATATCGTTAGCGAGCACAGACTTATCCTCATAATGCGGGTAACGGATATCTTCGTTTTGCTTTAATAGTCGTTTTGTAGCTCTGAACAGTTTTCCTTGATCACAGCTATTCGTAGCAATAAAGTTTGCGTAAAAATTACGCCTAGCTTCATTCATCAAGTACGTTGTGCGGTTTTTGTAAGTTTTATAAGTGGCATAATCGGACGAAGACTTTGTTGTCCTCCAAATTTTTTCTGCTTTCCGTTTTTGTCTCTTTGACATTCTAATGTTGTCGTCAAACCAGGGCACACATGGTCTTACCGTGATAGATTTGGTCTTGAGAGGAGCATGCTGGTCTAGCAAGTTTGAAAGAGTGGTGTTGTAGGATTTCACTAGTGAATTTAGATCATCGGGAGAGTTACGACATAGGTCTGAAGCAGAGATATCCGCCTTTAGTGACAGTAGATCAATAGATTTTAGCTTCCGGCATTTTAGCTTCTTTACAGTAAATGTAGATTTTAGGGCCTTAACTGGAACACATAACTGCAGCATGATCAGAGAGAAGGCAACCAACGCATGGTGAACTACAGATAATGTTGTCAGCTTGGCGAGTAATCATTAATCCCCATTAATTCCAACAAGTCCAAAAGTCTATTTGCGTCAGGGCTATCAGCATCAACATGAATGTTAAAGTCTCCTGTTATGAAAAGAGTATCAGCAGATAGAATAGCTGATTCAAGGAATTCAGCGAACTCGTTGAAGAACACGCCGGTGGAGACTTGGTGCTCAGAAGAGTATGGCGGTCTATAGATGATGGCAAGTCGTAGTAGAAAAGGTCCAGATTAAATTTTCCATTCTAAATATTCAAATGAAGCTGTCTCGGCAGCTCCAATTTTATTGACAATCAGACTGTCTCTAAATACAAGCGCTGTGCCGCCTCCTTTGCGGGTCGTGCGTGGCTGATCCAGAAGATTATAACCGAGAGGAGTGGCTATAGGGCTATAGCAGCAACATCATTGTCGGTAAGCCATGTTTCAGTTATGGCATTCAAATCAGTTTTACTCTCGCAAACAAAATCAACAAACTCTGCCGACCTGTTCTTTATGGAACGAGCGTTTAGAGTAGGCCTACATAGCTGCATGAACGGCTTCTCAGTGACAAGCATCGAGTCGACAGTCGGCACGTTAGCAATGAATTTGATACATGAAATAGACTTTGAGCTACGTGTAAGATATGTGAAGACTCTTGCAGTAATAACTGGTGAAATAAACTCATACGGTTGAATACCGATCAAGTTCGAATAATTGTTATCCGGCTGACGTCTGACTGGCCGTCGTGTAGCATTGATGAAGGGTTTAATTGGCCGACGGTAATTTCTGCCCGCCCTTGTTCCTCGATGTGTCATCTTTGATTTCTTGCACAGCTGTATTGACTTTATTCTCATTCATACAGCACTGTTTAGACTTGATTTGGCGATGGCAAAAACTTCACGGTTGATTGAGCGTAGCATTGCACTTGTGTACCGGACAGCCATATTGTGACGCTGAAGTACTGTAGCAGATTTGCTAAGAAATTCAAATTTTTGCAGACCAAAATGTTCACAAACTATCGTGTTATAATGTTTTTTGCCTGTACCTTGGGTGTTCATAAAAGTACTTGTTTATAACAAACACAAATGAAACACTTAATAATCACGTAAAATTACACAAACGGGTGCAGCTATGCAGCGCAACCCTTCAGCGTAGTCACGCACGTGACCCCTTACAAACCTTATATATATATATCAGTCACTCCTTCTCACAGTCCATCTCTCTCTCCCGCTCTCTCTGTTATTCTCCCTATAGTTGTTCATGCGACCGTGTATGTTATGCGGTATGAGTAGGCGCTGTTCAGTGCTCTTCGCACGATCACAGCAGCTAGATGTTATCTCATTAAGTCATCTCACTGAATCCACCGCGTACATCAATTATTTGTTAACTGACTATTCGATCTAAAGGCTGACCGCTGAAATGAAATTAAACAACCTAACACGACTAACATACGAACGAACGAACGAACGAGCGAGCAAACGAACGAATAAACAAACGAACGAATGAATTAACGAACGAAGAAACGATCGAAAGAAACAGTGAAAGAACGAATCACCAAGTTAAACAAGGTAATTAAATAATATAACATCAAGAGTCCATAATAGAAACGAATGTCCATAATTTTCTTTTATGGACTCTTGATAACATCGCACGCGCCAGCACACTCACTCACGTACTCACACACGCACGCGCACGCACACGCGCACATGCACGCGCGCATGTCACCTTGAATATCGTTATTACATCGACGTCGTTTACTCACCGCGTCGGGATGCTTAGCTGGTGTTTTTTATCTATCTTGTACGCCACCTGGTAAGAGTTAGAGCCGGTGGTTTTACTAATGCCCGTCATGCCGGGGCTCAGTCTTGATATGAAATCAAACCCTGTATCGAATAAAACGAGAGAGAGAGATGCTTCAGCGGCGATAAGTAGAGACTGCGCAAACAGTCGACAATGCTCGTCTCGATTTCAACGAACTCAGACCGAATTAGTCCGACCTTTATTGATTACACTTCCGCGCTCGCTCCGACTTTGTTAGATTTACGGGGTTCTTTCATCGCCTGCTATTACTGACACGATTTGAAATTTCGCCGACGCCACAAATGCGTTTCTGTTATCGTAACCTCGCCAGCAAACCTGCGCTTTCGAATCGTGGCGGATTCTAGTTTCGCGGCATCGCTGTAGTAGAGTGGTTTGCGTTATGACGCGCGCGACGCAATCGACCTATTATGTTGTTGATGATATTGTTGGATTTGAAAGACGCATTTTGAAGAGAGAAAACAACTCCTGTTCCCATGCATGTTAATGTGATCGCACGGCGCATGCGTAACGTCGCATATACGGGCAGACGACCAGATATATACGTCAAGTGACAGATGCGGGTAGACGATCAGATATAAACGTCACGTGGCAGATACGGACAGACGACCAGATATAAACGTCACGTGACAGATGCGGGTGGATGACCAGATATAAACGTCACGTGACAGATACGGACAGACGACCAGATATAAACGTCACGTGACAGATACAGACAGACGACCAGATATAAACGTCACGTGACAGGTACGGACGGACGACCAGATATAAACGTCACGTGACAGATACGGACAGACGACCAGATATAAACGTCACGTGACAGATACACGCACGCACGCACGCACGCACACACGCATGCACATACACGCACGCTAGTACGCACGCACGCACGCACGCACGCACGTACGCAC